GGGGCAGACTAACAGAAGCGAGGCTGCCATATCACACCATCGGTCCCTCTGGCCAACACCAGTAGGTGGTGCCCAAGGACACAACAACCAGGACAGAGAGCCCGGGGATCGAACCGGCGACCTTCCGGTTACAGATGCGCTTCCCGACCCCCTGAGCCACGGTCGCCCCAAAATCTAATCAATATGACAGATTCTGGGTTTTTTGTGGCTTAGCCTCTACTGAGCCGGCAGTGACATCTCCTGACAGGCCGTCGGCACACATGCTGGGTGAAAAGGTGGTTCTGTGTGGGTTTCTACAGGCTGAGAGCCCTGGGGGGACCCTGCTCGTGAGAGGGGCCCCTCTGCCTAGAAATGTTGAGGACACAGAGCGGAGCTTTGTATCGAAAGACGTTATGAAATTTAGAGAGGCTGTGCAGTTTTCCTATAAATTTACATTTTTTTGTTTTTTAATCTGCCTTCCCTGCTCATTGAATACTCTATCACAAGGCTTCATGAATGCCTGCGTGTGACGTGACTGGGCCAGTGAGCACTGCGGTGACTGATACCTGATCTCGCTGTGCATCCGTGTAAGGTTTCCTCATGCAGACTGACCTCTGTGTGTGGTTTGGGTTAACGATTGCTAAAAATTCAAAATAGCAAGGCTAATGTGCATTATATGTGTGGTGGCTAACAACCATCCCAGACTAATCTCTTCTCGGGAGCTGCAGATGTGCAAATGTGTTTGTAAGTCGAAGCACTCACAGCTTCGTAGTTCTGCTCGAGGAATTCGGCCACAAGCACTTTGTGTCTCGTCAAGAGGTCCTGTGGACGAAGACAGAAAAATGCATCTTAGCTGACGGATTCAAATGTTACCGAACACTTTTTACATACATACATGTCTGTATACACTGTACAATCGCACGCTGCCCAACATTTGTCTCCTGTATTGGATGCAATACAACCATCAGTTGCTCTGAAAAAAAAAATGTATTCCCCAAATGTTGCCAGAGGTTCCTGGAGGTGTTTACTTTCCAGTTTTAATTACGATTATCACACTTCAAAATAGCTGACAAGTTAGTGTCACATGGTCAACGGTCACATGTCTGCAAAAATCAGCGCATGTTAAGACTTTTCCTCAACAAAACATGAAAACAAATTTGCCTTTTCTAGGCCTATGTGGGGAACAAAAATATCAAAGAAATTCAAATGATACTCGCGTGGGATGTTGGTTTACTAAATCCAAATCCAAACACTTGTCAAAGTCCAGTCTGGCTCTAGTCTAGCACCTGACCTGACAGCCAAAAGAAGAAGAAAGAGAGTTACCTTAAAGGTCGCGAATGCGTCAGAAGCAATGTCGAAGGTGGACATCTCCACGTAGTTGAAAAAATTGTGGAAATGCTCCGAATGGAGAACTATCTTGGCGAGCGGCTCGTGGCGGATGCACTCCCTCAGCATGATCCCACAATTTAGCGCCACCTGGGGCATCTCATATCTTCAAACACAGCAA